CCCCCCCCCCGTTTTGTGCTCTCAGTGCTATTGCTTTTGTAGCCAAAATGGTACTACTGTGCACAAGACAGAATTATCATCATCCTTAACAAACCCTCAGATATGTGGGTGTGTCATGATCCACAAGTCAATGCAGACTGAAAGTGATAAGTACATGTAGGATACTTATTGTGGGTCTGGAAACAGAAAACAGGGTAGCAATGGGAAGAGAACATTGTGAAGGAGGGCATAGCTGATTGACTTTGAACAGCAAACAAGAGCACTCATTGCCACATTTGTTACAGAGTCTATTTGTACCCATCTGAATTTGGTGAGGTGATGCCCTCCCATAGTTAATAGAATTGGTATGCAGCCAGTTTTTGCTATTTGAACTGACAAGAAGCACAGAGAGTAAGGAACCGACTGAACATGAAGCACCACTCCTCAGGATGCAACTGACTCCTGCTAAGATCTGGGCTAGACAATATGTAGAATTAATTTGGCCCTAACGGGGGGGGGGGGGGGGGGGGGGGGTGCTTGTATATCTGTAAAAACAGACAAGATACTGTAAAGATGTTGTAAATCTGTGCTTTCTCCTATAAGAAAGCCGATCCTTGTAGTGCACCTCCAACCCTTGCATGGAGTGACTTTGGAAAGTGGAAAATGCATAATATGTTCAGATGGTAACTGATTTTTTAATGTGTGTTTGCTTGCCTGTGCATTTGCTTGCCTGCGATTTATTTGCATATGCTTGCCTGTGATTTATTTGGATGTGTCTCCTCCCTTCAATTAATGTTTTTGTGTCCTTTGGTTAAAGTTCATTGTTCGGCCCCATTCTTTGGCATAAGAGTTGTTTTAATTAAATGATATATTAGTCCTCTGTGCTGCTCCTATGTTTTCAGAATGGAGGGCATGATAGATTTCCGTGCTTTGGAGAAAGAGCTGGAACAAGCTATTGCCAGTGATGAGAAGTACAAGAGAGAAAATGATGCCAAATTTCGAGCAGTGCGCCAGAAAGTAGCATCCTATGAAGAATTCAGGTTTCTATCTCCCATTGATTCCTATTGGTTCCTTTGTTGATGAGAAAGAGGGAGTAGATAAAACCAACTATTTATCCATGGAAGCAGCTTCTTGGGAATTTATCTTGTTGTATATGCAGCTGTTTGAGAAGCTGGTTCTGTTTAGCAATTGATCTCCATGGTATACCCACTAGCGGTCCCCAAATGAAAACAAATCTGCACCAAGGATAACTGACTTGGCCATGCTTTCTCTTCCCTCTCCCATTGTGAATGGTTGAAATCTGTTTCACACATGCTAGCTGGAATCTTGTTAGTAGCAACCTTATAAGTCAACCTTATATCTCTTTTTAGTTAAAGCAGAGGTTGCCACTGACCAAAGTCTCGCCACACCCACCCTATAGTTGTTGCAGCACACATACACCAGTCATTCTGTGCCTGGTGAGAGTAGTGGGAGATCTAGAACATCATCAACAGAAACTTCAGTGGACCGCAGTGAAGGACGTAATCATTTCGTGTCTGGCTATGAGGACATAGCTAGATGCTTCTCCAATCTTCCACTGTTTTCATCAGGCATTGAATGGCCATGAGAAGAGCTGTAGTGACTGCAGAAGATCCATGAGTTCATGACTGGCCAGCTGTAGTATAGTGTAGTTCCATATGTGGGATCATTACACTATACTGGACCATACAGGATTGTGGCCACTGTTTGATAGGGACAGGGAATGTGTACCAGATATTGAGCTGCAATTCCTATCAGCACTAGCCAGAATAACCAGTGAAGAAGAATGAATGGGGTTGCATAATCTACTGAATCCCTGCTATATTATTTTGTAGTACCTTTGTCCAGGAGTGATTTAAAGATGGAGAGTAATATTTGTCCAATAGTGTTATAAGTTGTTCATAATCAACTTCATTCTGTGTAGCAAGTTAAATTGCAATTATACAATAAACAGAGCATGAAATGTTCATGCATGTCTGTTACTGTTACGCTCACTAGCAATAGAATGCTGCTTTTGCCACTCCAAGAGTTAATGTTTGGATATCTGAGAGAAAGAAAGCAAACTACATTGTGTTTAAAAAGGCATCACTGAAAAAAGAATAAATGGGGTAAGAGATTTTCCTGGAATAAGAGAATTTTGCCATACTTAGACTACCAACTGAAATTGTGAGAAAGCTATTTGTTTTAACACATGGTCTACTTTATACACATTACAACATGCATCATAATAAGCAACAGGCAGCAAAGGTGGTTGTCTGTGGCCATCTCAATTTTCAGGTAATTATAGCTTCATTGCTATATTGTTTGGATAAGCTGAACAAGGACATAGCATTTGGACAGGATGAATACAATACTAGATAACATTGCTGTACCTTAATCATTAC